AATGACATAATATAAACTGTTAAGTGACTTTAATTATCCAAAAACAGAGAAAACACAAAGAATGAGAAATAAAAAGGGGGAAATTAGTTACTTATTAAGAAGCCAAAAAGAATCACAAGAAGCTTTGTTTCCCCCTCTGCTTGATCACCTTATTTATCTGTGAAAATGAATTTGAAAAAAAAGGTATGAATGGACCTTGGAGAGCAGTTACATTATCCGATTTCATAATAAAGGCTATATCCTAGTCATGATATTTGGCAATTATAATTTTCCAAAATGAACTGCAGGAAAGAGAAAATCCAAAAGGAGCAATTCCATAGAAGAAATAAAGTAGTGAGAACCAAATCCTTCTTTCCCTTCTCTTGGCCAAAATACATTAATCTCAAAAACTTCACAGTGACTTCATTGGGAAACAGACTATTTCAATGCTACTTAAAGTGCTTCAGGCTCCACAGAAAGAAAAAAAAAACTATCTAAATTATTTTAATGAAATCCAATAACTGTACTTTAAAGTTCACACAAAAGCAATCATTTTTATAATCATAGTTGGAAAATTCCTTAAAAATTTTGCCAGTAAAATTCATGATAAGATTTTAGTAGCAGGGCACTTCCACATGGAATTCTAAAATGTTTATTTAAGACATTTTTTTTAAAATCCACACATAGCTTTTTATAACATACATGTTCCGTGAACTTTTTGAAGATTCTCCTCACATGTACGGATCTCAAAAAATTTTGCAATCTATTTTTAGATCAATTTTTCATAAACTTTTCCAACTATGTTTGTATAACTGCTCTTAAACCAGAGGGCTAAAGAAATGAGCTTAACACTGGCAGGGGCCAGTTAGGCACCCACCAGTCTTTAGGAATGAGATAAATCTCATTGAAACAGGAAGGGGTGAATTCTCTCAAAGAAACGAATTGAAGAGCCATAGGAGGGGAAAGGAGAACTGGATGGAGAACAAATAAAGGTCCACTCAGCCAAAGATGGATTATATATTTTATAACTTAATATTCACAGCTTCTGCTGCTAATCTGTCACAAAATGTGACAGTAACAAATAGTATAACGGTTGCTATGTAACTCAAGTGATGCCAACAAGGACAGTAAAAAGATTGAGCTTTTTTCCCCACGATAATGCTTAAGATGAAGAAATGACTAACTCCAACTTACTGCCTTTCCTCTCCTATCATTTTCTCTTTTGACATGTGAAATTGTCCAGATAAGCATCCTAAAATGAGAATATTAATCCAACCAGGCATACGCATATAAAGGTTATGGATACACAGTCACATAAAGAATGCTGGATTCATTCTTTACATGTTGGGTTCTATGGACGAGGTCAGTAGCACTTGTATAGGTATACAACATTTGGTTTGTTGTGTATTACTAGATCCCAAAATGTTTTTTTCATTAGGAGTAGCCTATGTGTCAGTTACTCTCATTCCACTTGCATAGTTTTACAAATAACACTTATTGAGAGAAAAAGTTCAAACTTAACCAACCAATCTCCTTTATTCTTTCTTTTTTTATCCCAGATGACTTTCATAATAATACTACTTCTGTGGCATTGACTATGTTTTCACAGCTTTCAAATACGAAAATTTAAGGGGATGTTTAGTAGCTGTGTAATGGAGACTGTCATATCTAGTAACATGTTATTTAATGTCATGGCATTGTAAATTTCTATTTTTCTTTCTATTGTTGATTTTGTATTATGATTTTTCATTTGAGGGGAGGTACAAGTAGCTGTGAAATGCAGACTAATATATCCAGATGTGAGGATACAATGTAGTATGCATTTCTACTTCCAGACAAAGGACTTATAATGAAACTGTTTACTATATCTTGACAATAGGATGCTGGACTCTCTGCCATTGTCCATGCCCGCAATGATGGACATATGACTGTGTATGAAGAACTATACTTTAGTAATGATATAGAGGAACTAGGTAGGGATGGGGGGAATTGGGGCGGGGATAAGGGAAATACCAGGAGCCTATGGAACTGTATCATAAAATGATAATAATAATATATAAAATATAAAATGTAAAAAAGTATATTTACAGCAGCATTTCTTACAAGTTACTTTGCATGTCTGAGAGCTGACTGAGAATTTCTTCTTCAAATTCAATTGTTCTTCACTGGATTGAAGAATCTGCTTAAATTAGAAAATGGAACTTATGAACCCCAACCAGGTTGACTGACTTATAGTAAAACAGTAGTGAAGGGAGGATAGCTGTCGTGTGTGTGGGAAGAACATGCTAGCATATTTTGATTTTACTCGACACTAGTCTCCAGAAAGCATGAATGGATTTGGGATGTGAATTGGAAAAAAGTTTTAAGACAAAAGTGCTAAAAATAAGTACTGTATTTGTACTTAAAATTAAGAAAAACGCAATGCATCTATTGAGTTTGTGAACATACGAAATGCTATTTGTATTTTAATTAGTTAAACTTTAAATTATGAATATGTCAATTTATATAAACAAGCATTTGTACTATGCTCATATATTTACATTTTTGCTAATGCATATGCCAATTAGATAGATTAAGATGATCATAATAGTATTTCAAATTCTTAATCTAATTTTGCAAGCAGTAACAAATAATGTAATTCAGATTCAAACAAAAATTGATTTTTTTAAAAGATTTATTTTTATTTGAAAGGCAGAGTTACAGAGACAGGCACACACACACACACACACAGATCTTTAACCTTCTGGTTCACTTTTCAAATGGCAAACCATATTGCTAAACCAAGTCAAAGTCAGGAGCCAGGAGCTTCATCTGGGTCTCCATCTAGAGGCATGAACCCAAACATTTGGACCATCTTCTGCTGCTTTCCTAGAAACATTAGCTATAAATTAGATTGGAAGTAGAGCAGCCTGGACTTGAACCAATGCCCATATAGAATGCCAGCTTTCCAGCTAGTGATTTTTCCTGTTATGCTATAATGCTGTTCCTATTTCTAAAACAAGCTTAAGTACTATTTTGTCTCATTTATCTCTCTCAAGAGTTATAACCCAAATAATAGGCAAAACAAATGTATTTTTCTGAAACTGAAATAAGAATATCTTGAAATAACTATTCTTTGAATAAATGATGCAAACACTTTATAATATCCGAAAGTTAAACAATATAGGGTGAAAAATTCATCTCTTCTTGCCACTCTGTTCTCTGAATAAAAAATCTGTTACCTATGTCTTATATTTTCCAGAGATGTCCAATATTCAAAGAAGTTAACATCCAGGTAGACATTTATGAACAGTATCAGTGTACACATGTTTTATGCTGAGGTTTTTGGTTGAAGAACACCTCTGGGAGAGCATTGCCCAGTAATGTCTATTGAAAGGCTATATTTGAATCCCCAGCTGGGCCACTGTCCCTGCTGGTGACTTGAGAGCTGGGTCTGAGGGCAGACCAGGCCAGGCAGGCTACAACACCTATTGGCCTACATGTGAATTGGATTAAGGAAAGAGCCAGGATGGGCTAACTGATTGTATCCACTCGTGCAGGCATGAGCCAGCGTAAGGGCAGGTGGATTGGGCTTTGCCGCAGCATCAACTGGCAAGTGCTGGGACTGGGGGCAAGTCCTGTTGAGATAGACCATAGAGCAACCTGGAGAGGGTAAGATCCAAGAAAACAATGAGTTCAGAAGGGAAACTGTGGGCACCTCTGAGGGGCTGCAACTCCCACAGGTAAGCATGAGAACCAGGGCTGGGGGCAAGCTTAGCTAGACAGGCTGTGGCACCTGCTGGTATGAGGGTGGGTTGGAGGGTGAAGCTGGTTGGGTTGAGTTAGGCTTCAATACCCATTGATGTGCGACAGACTGGACGAGTTCACTGCACGTGCTGGCAGGAACAGGAACCAGGACTGAAGGCTGCTCCAGTGTAGGTTCCTAGGGGTTGCTTTGACTATGCTGCAGCTCCTTTTAGTGTATGTGAAGGCTGAGCACGTGATGGGCAGAACTAGGCTGGACATCAGCACCCATTGGCTTGCATAGAGGAAGCAGAGGAAGGAGGGCAGAACCAATTGATCGACTACCCAAGGGACAGCAAATTTCTGGGTGAATGGAGACTCTGAGATGGACTATGTCAGCCAATTGACCTTGGAAGGATTTCCTCATCCTTGGAGTAGTGATATCAACAGCATTTCAGAACTATGGAAACCACTTGAGCAGAACCCTCGGAACATGCTCCACATCAGGGACCCTGAGATGACATCAGGTGGCCATTCCCCAACCCTGGTTACTGAGGCGGTGGGGAGGCTGGGTGTGGTTTCTCCTGTTTTCTCCACCCTCACCCCGCCCCCCCGCCCCCAGCCCAGATACAGGAAGGAAAAAAAGAAAAGGTGTAAACAACGGTCTTGCTCACTTTCCCCTAATTGTTGGCCCCGCCCCCCACGAGTCAACTATGTGAACATCATGAACAATAATTTTTTTAAAGGTTATATTCATTTTTTAGTGTTTACATAGTATTTCATTGAATGGCTGTGCCATATATAACCAAGTCTTCCATCAGAGAAAGAACCAACAGGTTGTGGAAATGATTACAGAGTTTTGTTGAAAGAAATTGGTCATGTAATTGTGGCAGTTACCGAGTCCAAGAATTACAGGGGACACAGGCAGGCTGGTAAAGAGGGAAAGAGGCCACGCAGCAGTTCACAGTACAGAACTGAAGTCTATCAGCTGGCAGCATTCCTTCTTGCTTGGGAGACTTCAGTCTTCATTGTGTTCACATCTTCAACACTAGACAAAGCCCAAAATGGTGAATAGGACCATTTATGTTACTCAGAGTTCACTGACTTAAATGCTACACCTCATCCAGGAGCAGCCGCATAGAAATATGCGTAATAGTATGCAACCAATCGCCTGGGCACTTTGGCCAAACCAAGTTGACACACAAGACTGTCACAGTTCTCTGTCAATGGCCACTTGGTTTGTTTACAACTTTGGCTAATATATCATGAGTTTAAAATATTTTTCTCTGTTTAAAAAGTATTTATTGAGTCGGGGACCCGTGGCAGCACCTACAGCGCAAGTTCCAGCAGCCTGGACGCCCAGCACGTCTGCCCGGCCCTCTCCGGGATGTCCAAGGCCAAGGAGGCCAAGAAGCTGGTGGGTTGCACTGCGGTGGAGAACCACGTCAGGAATAACCAAGTGTTGGGAATTGGAAGTAGCTCGACAGTTGTGCACGCTGAACAGCGAATAGCTGAAAGAGTGAAACAGAATCTGAGCCTTGTCTATATTCCCACTTCCTTCCAGGCCCAGCAGCTCATCCTGCATTATGGCTTGACCCTCTGTGACCTGGAACGGCACCCAGAGATTAACCTCGCCATTGATGGTGCAGATGAAGGATGAAATGGATGCTGATCTCAACCTCATCAAGGCGGGGAGCTAGGGGGTGGTGTGGAGGCTTCCTGACCCAGGAGAAGATCGTGGCAGGCTATGCCAGTCACTTCATTGTGATTGCTGATTTCAGGAAAGATTCAAAGAATCATGGGGATCAGTGGCAAAAGGGAATCCCCATCAGAGTCCTCCCCATGGCCTACGTCCCAGTGAGCCGAGCAGTGACCCAGATTTTTGGGGGCGAGGTTCAACTTCAAATGGCCGTCCACAAGGCAGGTCCTGTGGTGACAGATAATGGGAATTTTATCCTGGACTGGAAGTTTGACTGCATCCATAAATGGAGTGAAGTGAACAAGGCTATCAAAATGATCCCAGGCATGGTGGACACGGGCCTGTTCATCGACATGGCCGAGCGAGTGTACTTCGGGATGCAGGACGTCTCTGTGAATGTGAGGGGGAAGCCTGCTGTTGATGTGCACCTTGATCTCCAGCCCACAGCCAGGGGGGACCAGGCTATCTAGGACCGTTTGTCTTAATGTGTCTGTGGGGGCCAGAGGGAGGGGAGCTCAATCCAGTCTTCTGCAGTATTGTTATTAATGTCTTTTTAAACAGAAATTTAAAGATTATATATATATTTTTACTATTAAAAATATTCAGGTTTTTTTGTTATAAAGTAGAACTTGATTTCAGGTTTTATATGAAACATTTACCAAAAAAAGAAAAAATAAAAAGGGCAAGATGAGGAGATGATCTTTAAAATCTTCGACTTGAACCTGCTGAGTCGGATTCTGAATATTGGGTTTGCTGAGAAAGGAAAATGAAAGCTTTCCTTGAAGCTGACAAGGGCCCAGCTGGCAGTGGCTCCCGATGCCTTACAGGAAACCCGTCTCCTTTCCTGCCACTCTCTGTGGTATTTTCAGTTTGTTCTCACTGGAATCACACACAATTCAGTTACCTCTGATCGAGTGTACAAAAGTCTGCTGAATGGGGTGGTGTAACATATAGCGACTTGGAATGTGCTCTGTCAGGGGGCAAATGTGGCACTTTTGCTAAGATCAGGGGTTTGTTCAGATCCTTGTTGTTGGAGGAGGCAGTCGGCCGGAAGTACTTGCCAACGCTGCCAGAACACTTCTGTGAAATGTGAAATAGCTGTTTGTGTAATCATTTTCTTTCTGTTGTCAATGATTTGTTCTGTTCCTTTATCATGTGCATGGTTTGGCATCAGAAGTCATCACTTCTCTATGTTGTTTGAAGGTTGGAATAAAGCATTGTGGTGCCATTTAAAAAGAAAAGTATTTATTAATCTATTTGGAGGCAGAGTTTACAGAAAGAGGGAGAAACAGAGAGACAGAGATATCTTCCATCCACTACTCCACTCCCCAAAGAGCCAAAGGCCAGGACTAGGCCAAATCAAGGCCATGGCACAGGAACCAGGAGCCTCCTTCAGAGCTGCCACATGGGTGGCAGGAACACAAGTTTCTGGACCATCCTCTGCTGCTTTCCACATGCTTTAGCAGACAGCCTGGTTGGAAGTGAAGCATCTGGGACAAGAACCAGTGCCATACAGGATGTTGACATCGGATGAGATGTCTTTAACCCAATATGCCACAATGTTGACTCCTATACCTAATTTCACAAGCGTAAAGTATATCAATAGAACAAATTCCCAGAAGTGAAACTCCTAAAAGTACATGAGAGTATATGGTTTTAATATGTTGGTATAATGCTAATCGTGTTCCAAAGTGCTATGCATTTATACTTACAAAGGATAGGATGTCTGTTAGGAAACTATTTTTAACTTTTCTATTTGTACAGTTCTCCTATGAATCAGGCAAGTAACTATAATGCATTGTATAGATCTTAGCAATGACAAAGGTTCCTTTTACATACATAGATTCAGGCACATAATTAGAATTTGCACAATACTGATGTAATAGATTATAGATTGCCATTTACTTTAGTACCATCACTAATGCTAAGAGGTTGTGAATGAACCTTAATAATTTATGTTTCATTAAGAGTCTTGCAGAGATATTTCAGTTCTATTTTTGGCTTTGCTTTTTGAAATTAAAAAAAAAAAAGTTTATTTTGGTAAATTTTTTTTTTTTTGAAATTCATGCATAGTTTCATTATTTACCTTTTCCATGAAGTTTTAAAAACTTTTTTATTTGAAAAGCAGAGAGAGAGAGAGAGAGAGAGCTCATCTATTAGTCTAAATAGCTGGGATTGGGCCACGCTGAAGCCAGGAGCCCGAGCTGGGAACTCACTCCAGGTCAGCCATGTTTGCGGCAGGGAACCGAGTACTTGAGCAGTTAGCTGCTGCCTCCCATGTACTGCATTCACAGGAAACTGAAACTGGAGTAAAGCCAGGATTTTGAATCTAGGCACTATGATACGTGATGAAGTTATTTTACAGATTGTCCTCCTAAAACAGCGATTTTTCCTTTATCAGAGAGGGATTATTGTATCATTGTGCTGTCTTACAGTTAAATATGTTGCTCATCTAAAATTTCTTACTACAGCTGGTGTGTTGGCTTAACTGGCTAACCCTCCACCTCCAAGTGTCAATCCCATATGGGCGCCAGCTTGTGTCCTGGCTGCTCCATTTCTCATCCAGTTCTCTGCCTATGACCTGAGAAAACAGCAGAGGATGGTCCAATGCCCTGGGACCCACGTGAGAGACCAAAACAACGCTTCTAGCTCCTGATTTCAGATTGGCTCAGCTCTGGATGTTGCAGCCATTTGGGGAATGAACCAGTGGATGAAAAATCTTTTTGTCTCTCCTCCTCTCTGTAAATCTGCTTTTCAATAAAAATAAATCTTTAGGAAATATATAAAATCTCATGCTAATTTTGCCTAATATTTATAGAAATTGTAATTCTTAAAACTGCAAAAAAAAAAAAAATGGTCAGGAGTAGAATGCACACATCTATGGACCTGAGCTCATCTTCATATTCTATCACGGATATTTCCTGAGGCTTTTTTCTGCACTTTTTTTTTTAAACATTAATTTAAATAAACCACTATCAGGACAGGCAAAGTGGCATAGCAAGCTAACCCTCTGTCTGATAGTGCTAACATCCCATATGGGCATCAGTTTGTGTCCTGGCTACTGTACTTCCCATCCAGCTCTCTTCATATGGCCTGGGAGAGCAGTGGAGAGACCCAAGCCCTTGGAACTCTCCACACCTACCTAGGAGCCCTGGAAGAGGCTCTGATTTCCATATTTGGACCACCTCATTTCTGGCTGTTGTAGGCATTTGGTGAGTAAGCTAGCAAATGGAAGATGTCTCTTTCTCAGTATCTCCTTCTCTCTCCATAAAATCTGATTTTCTAATAAAAATAAATGAATCTTACAAAGAAAAAACCCACAATGATCATTTCATGACTGAAAATCTAGGATCTAAGCATCAGGATTTAAATAATGTATGCATTTCACAGGGAAAATATTTAAAGATGTTTGTGTTCCACAGAAAAACACTGACCTCAAACCTTTAAAATTATATTACTGCTGAATAAGATAGTGAAAATTTCCTGGTCATAAAATTACATTTGATTTCAGGACCAGCACAGTAGCCAAGTGGCTGAAGTCTTCGCCTTGCATGAACCAGGATCCCGTATGGGCACTGGTTCTAATCACAGCAACCCTGCTTCCCATCCAGCACCCTGTCTATGGCCTGGGAACACAGTTGAAGATGGCCCATTGCCTTGGGACCCTGCACCCACGTGGGAGTCTCAGAAGAGGCTCTGGGCTCCAGGCTTTGGATTGGTTCAGCTCTGGCAAGTGTGGTCACTTGGGGAATAAATCAATGGATGGAAGATCTCTGTATACCCGACTTCCCAATAAAAAATATTTGATTTTGTTCTTTTTTAGGAAGTAAAATATATTAATATATATGTATGTATAATTTTTATTTGAAAAGGAGAGAGTAGGGAGGGAGAGATCAAAAGAGAGAGATCTTCCAACCAATGGTTCATTCCCCAAAGGGTCACAATGGCAGTTCTAAAATCATGGTATTTAGAAAACAGAGTCTTATTTCTTATAGTGAAAAAGTGCTTCATTAGAAAATGCATTCTTCCTTCGCAAAAAGAGATTATAGGTAATGCTTGACCTTGTTATGAAGACAGAACTGAAAAATACATGAACAAGAGTGCTCTGAAATGCTACAGGTGAGTATGCAATTTCTAGTTTTGAAGACTCCTTTAAAGACTCTCTTAAAATACAGTACACCTCCTACAAGTGATGGCATGCCATATAGGCGCAGGTTCGTGTCCTAGCTGCTCCATTTCTCATCCTGCTCCATGCCTGTGGTCTGGGAAAGCAATGGAAGATGGCCCAAGACTTTCAGACCCTCTCCCTGTGTGGAAGACCTGGAAGAGGTTCCTGGCTCCTGGCTTTGAATCAGCTCAGCTCTGGCCATTGCAGCCATTTTGGGAGTGAAAGGTTGAAAGATTTTTCTGTATCCCCTTCTCTTTGTAAATATGCCTTTCCAATAAAAATAAAATAAAATGCTTAAAAAAAAAAAGAGGTGGATGCATAACTTAAGGCCTCTACATGTAATAAGGCACGCTCTGTTGACTGCCCAGTTCAGAGTGATTTACCCAATGATTCTATTTGTCCTACTTATCACATCCTTTTTTTGGAGGGGAAATGTTCATTTTGCCCTGGGTGAAAAGTAACATCCTTTATAGATTTAACTTCTGCTGCCTTGTTCATTATTATCCGATCCAAAGAGCACATACGATATAAGCTATTCCCAGTTATTTCCCTCCTAATGATTTCTCAGTTTGGGGGTGGCAGGAAGCATTTCCTTTCTCTGCTAGATGGCTAAGCTATGAGTTTATACCATGACTTCAGTTTTATATAACTAGTAGACTAAATTTCACAAAACTAAAAGTTACAGAGAACAAGATTCAAGATATGAAGAGCAGAAAGAAGAAATTTAAATTGTCACCATAGATTCAACAGGATAACTAGTATAAAAAAAAAGTTTTTAAAATAGTAAGTGTTGCAACCAGTGCAGTAGTCTTGTAGCTAAAGGACCTGCCTTTCATGCAAGAGGATTCCATATGGGTGCTGGTTCATATCCCAGCTACTCTATTTCCCATCTAGCTCCCTGCTTATGGCCTGGCAAAGCAGCAGAGGACAGCCCCAAACATTGGGACCCTGCTCCTATGTTGGAGACCTGGAAGAACCTCCTGGCTCCTGGCTTTGAATTGGCTTAGCTCTGGCCATTTTAGCCACTTGGGGAATGAACAAGTGGATAGAAGACTTTTCTTTCTCTCTTTCCTCCTCTCTATAGATCTGACTTCCCAAATAAATAAATCTAAAAAAATAGCAAGTGTTGAGAAATTGGAACCCTTGGGAACAGTTGATAAGAATGTAGAATTTAAAACAGAATTAGTATATAATCCAGCATTTCCACTTAAGGCTAGAGTTAAAAGAAATGAAGCACATTCAGAAAGAAATATTTGTACATCAGGTTTGCGGCAGGATTAGTTTACAATAGCCAGAATGTGG